TATTATATTTATTTTATCTTTAATAGAAGTATGAAGTGCCTCGACCATACTAGTATAGTTAATAACCATTACACTTAAATATTATTTCAAATTTTTATAAACATCAACTAAATAAAATCAAAATTGATATCATATACGTAAAATTTATCACTAAAATTCATGGGATACGTATTGATTTTAGTTTTGCTAACCATAAGCTATATTTAACACTAAAATTCATATAATATGATGAGTTTTGTTTATGCCATATATAATTTTAATCAACTATTAATTATAATTAATTTTAGAGTGAAATCTTATTAATAATCTGTTTCTAAATTTTATGTTATTTTATGTTGTGTCAACAAATATTTATTGAATTGTCTTTTAATTAAATGGATTTTTTTTTTGAAGAAAATTCATTTAGATGTTAACAACTCTATATAATAAAATGAATTTTTTTATGCCGGGTATGAATTGATTTTAATTTGCTAACCATAAGATATATTTAACTCTAAAATTAATATAACTTTAACACTAAAATTCATATAATATGATATGAGTTTTCTTTACACCAAATATAATTTTAATTATATAAATTATATTTTAAATTTATGATAAATAATCTATATTATAACATGATATTAATTTTTATAATTTATTTTAAAATATTAAAATTTGTTTATAAGCAAAATTTGAATTATTATTAAAGAAAAATTCCTTTTATCAAAGAAAACCTCTAAAAATATATTTCAGTTAAAAAGTAAAATTCCTTTTATCAAAGAAACCTCTAAAAAATTTGTATTTAATATATAAGAATTGATTTTTTGTTAACAAATATTTTCTAGATTATTTGGGTAGACTTTCTTATCTAGAAATTCATCCACATATTAATAATATTTTTTAATAATATATACCATGACTTTGATATAATGAAAAATATTGAAGTATATATAAGATAATTAAATAGAAACAATAATGAATCAAATAAAATAAAGTCAAAATTTATATCATATACCTAAAATTTAACACTAAAATCCATTGGATATGTGTTGATTTTTTTTTGACTTATTTATTTATTTTATACTGGACTGGGTATGTATTGATTTTAGTTTACTGACAATAACATATATTTAAGACTAAAATTTTCATGAATGTAAAAACATTTCGTATATAAAACATCCCCTAAAATTCATATAATATAATACGAGTTTTCTTTAAGTCAGATATAGTTTTAATCACTCATGAATTAAAACTAATTAATTATATAATAACCCTAAACCCTAAACTCATTAATTATATAATGAAACCTTATTAATAACCTGTTTTAAATCCTTATTTTATGCCAACAAGGGTTTTCTGAATTGTCCTCCATTTGAGTGGACTTTATTGTGTAGAAATTGATGTAAATATTAACAACTTTATATATAAGTCTAATTTTTGCACCAAAGAAGAATGACATGTCAAAAAGAGGCAATGAAGGAACATAATAGAGTATCATCAGAATGAACAAGTACAATATTTAATGCACATATAATTGTGAATCAAGTTTTATATATGTCGTAAATTTCACAAATATCAAGTTTTATTAGACGTAAATTCCGCCCATAATAAATCTCATAAATTTCACAATGATGATTAAAACTTTTAAATGATAAAAAAAAAACACATGAATTAATTATTCCAAAATTTATAATAATCAAGATGTTAAAAAATCAAAATCGCCTTTAAAGTCAACCTACAGGCCCAGTTATTTTTTCCGGCCATTAATCCACAGAATGAGAATCCATAAACCTATTAATAGGCCCACACAAACCAAGCCCATTCATCGAGGACAATAAAAATGAACAAAAAGAGAGAAGAAAAAAAAAAAAATCTGCAACGCACAGTTTTGTAGCGAAAGAAAGGGTTTTTGATATCGCAACCACCGGCCGCACTCTTGCTCTCTCTGGGGATACGATTCTCTTTGCTCTCATTTCAACCCTTTTTTCTTCGCTTCATCAGGTTTCGCTTATTTTCTATTCCTTTGATTTTTCTGTTTCTATCATTTTTTGCTCCGAATCGGTTTCCATCGTTTTTGCGTTCTCCACTCTGCGATGTCTGAAATCAGTTCTTCTTTCTACCGTTTATTCCTCCCTTTCTAGTTATCGGATTCGATGTCTGTTTTTGGAATCTGGTTGTGTATCTTTAAGGCGTGTTAGGTTTTCTTTTATTATTGTTTGGAAATCGTTTTTTTTTAATTTTTAAAACACATAAGGCACACTTAGTTGCGTATGGATCTGCGGTTTTCGTAATTTCTGTGTATAGGAGTTCTTCTGGCTACTAGTGCTGGAAGTGGCTTATGTATTTTGCGCGTTAACAATTGAGGTTTTTTTTATTTTTTATTAATTAGGTCGAAAAGTTTGTTTGTTTTTAGTATTTAGCGGTTCAATCAACAAGTTCTCCAGCGTTTTTTGTATAATTATTTTCCGTTTTATTTTGGATTATTGATTATGATTTATAGCATTTGGGAGTTTAGGGCTTTTCCCTGGTAGACAAAGAGTGTTATGGGTTTCCCCTTAAGTGATTCTCGTATTGAATTTTCTTAATTTTGGAAAGCAATTTGATTTAGTAATATTTGGAGCTTAATTTTTTGCATTATTTTCTATTTACTTACTCTTTTTTTAATTGTTTTTTTTTTTTTTTATATGTATTTTTAATTCTAATCATGTACAAATTTTACTTGTGTTGCAGCAATCATGGCGGATGAAACTCATAATGAGGTGAAGGAGGAGGTTCCAGAAGTGAGTGTATTTTCCTGTTAATATCTGTAACTAAAAAATGCTTCCTCACTGTGTTTTTCTTGATTGGGTGTAAGGCCATAAAATTAGTTTTTTGAAGTTTTGTTTTCGGAAATTGCTAATTGTTATGATGGTATTGTTTTGTGCATATTTTTGTTACCAAGTACCAACCACGTTGATTAGTTGACACACCAATTTGTTGTGGCAATACCATCTCATGCCTGAATTTGTAAATTACAGATTGCACCATTTGATCCTACCAAGAAGAAGAAGAAGAAGAAAATTACAATTGTGGATCCTGCTGATGACCCAGTCGAAAAATTGGCTGAGAAGACAGAAAACCTCTCAGGCATGCAAAATAAAACAAGCAATTTCCTTTTGTGGTTTTGATTCCAGTGCTATCTAGAAATTGTGTTATGCATGATTCTCATTTGTTTTTCACTTGCAGTTGCTGATGGAGTTGAGACTGCATTTACTGGTTTGAAAAAGAAGAAGAAGAAGCCTGTAAGTCATACGTATGATTAATTAGATCTTTCCCTTTCTAATGAATAATTTCATCTATTGAGAATTTAAGTTTTTGATGTTGCTAGTATTTTGTTGGAAGCAATTTGACACCTGATGCTGTCTGATTGTAGGTTGAAATCAGTAACTTGAATGATGAGAGTGGAGATGCCATTGAAGATTTGGATGGTGAGCAGCGTATACCTGTGTAAATATTGTGTGTGAATATTGGACCGTGTTTGTTATGACAACAAGTGATGTCTTGAGGAAAGCTTATTCAACATTGATTATTTGATAATCCTTTTTGGCATTTAGATCACGCTGAAGATGATGAAGGAGAAACAGTTGCTCCCCAGGCTCGTTATCCTTGGGAAGGGAGTGATCGTGATTATGAATACGAGGAGGTGTGTTGTATGTTAATTACTTTTCTGCAATGCTGCTATAGCGACCTCTGTGATTGAAATGCCTATGTCAAGCTTGTTTTATGTTGATTTTTGCTGCATCACTTAGTTGAAAAGTTTTTCTGAGCTGGTTTTAATTTTCATCCCTAATTCTGATTATTTAATATTTATTTTGTGGTGCCTGTGGATCTGCCCTGTTACGTTTCCATATATGTTTCATAGGGTGATTGTGGTGGTGGTGGTGGTGGTTGGGGGGGGGTTGCTCTTGATTTTATAGTTTCTTTTAAATGATTGAAATCTTTAATCTGGTAGCATTTTATTTAATGATTTGTGTGCCTTGGTTATCCTTATTGGATCAAGAAATGTTGGTTTTTTTAAACACTAAACCATCTAAATGGAATTTTTGTTGGCATGGTGTCCAATTATAAAGCCATAATATATAGTCTAAATCATTTATGCTATATTCTGTTCTTTCTTTACTTGGAAGCTGCTTATCTTGCCTTACCCTTCCCAAACATCTCTATCCTGGATCCTGATGTGTTATTGTGCAGCTTCTTGGCAGGGTGTTTAACATTCTACGTGAGAATAATCCTGAACTTGCTGGAGATCGGCGGAGGACAGTTATGAGGCCTCCTCAAGTTCTTCGTGAGGGCACAAAGAAAACTGTGTTCGTGAATTTTATGGATCTGTGCAAAACGTATGTTGATATTTCATGCAAATTGGTTCACATTTTTTTTTTTACTTTTTTATTTTATATTATTCACTCAATGATGATGGGCACATCAGTTTTGTGATGTTGGTTTGAAATTTCTTGTACTCTTTTGGACACATCAATGAACATGGACATAACAATTATAGGGACCTTGACTTTGTTGTGTTGGAGGTGGATCTGTTGCTGAATCCAAATCCAAGTAAACCATCCAATTAGAAGGTTTACTGCAGATAGAACAAAATGACCTTAGGAACTGCCATGATGGGTGACAGTTTATGTGTTGTATAAGGTAGTTATTGTGACTGCTGTGCAAACAAGTTTATGTGGAAGGGGGGAGAGTTAGTTATGTTTTTATCTAATTGTATGGTGTAGTTTACAAAGTTAGGAGTTAGATATTATGTCAGTCCTTGAAAGGAGAAACATTTTATGGAGGAACCCTAGGCTCTGGAACTGTAATTGCCCATAAGGTGTGTTGATGAATTCAATGATATTCCCCTTTTTATTTAGTTTAAGAATTGGATGCATATACCAATCCTGTTATTTTATTTGTCACTGTTCTGTTACGCACAGACAGATTCTGAATTTCCACTAAATTTCTTATTTCCAAGGAATAGTTCTGAACTGGCATTTCTTTAAACATTTGTTTTCAATTTTCTTTTCAGATCAGATTATTGCTGTATGTTTCTTTGAGATTAACTTTTCATGAATGAATGCAAATTGCTTGCCTTATTAATGAATGCAAAATGCTTGCTCAATTAATGAATGCCTGCTGTATAGAAGTTTGGGAAATTTCTACATACCTATTGATTTTGTTCAGCTAATAATGATTATTACCATTTTTTTATGCCTTTGTTGACTGTTTATTCCCCCATGCCATATTTGCCTCTTACAAGTAATTTGACATTAGGTATGCTTCCTTTTTGTTAATGTACTTCTATGCTATCTTTTAGAATGCATCGGCAGCCAGACCATGTCATGGCTTTCTTGCTTGCTGAGCTGGGTACAAGTGGCTCCCTTGATGGTCAGCAGAGATTGGTTGTGAAGGGAAGATTTGCACCAAAGAACTTTGAAGGAATTCTGCGACGATATGTCAGTAAGTATTTGTGTTTAATAATCGATAATCTGTTGTGTTTCACAAATGGAAGGTAAGTATCAAGGTTCTGTGTTGTGTAAGATGGCGTGTTTCTATTGCTTAATATATTTTCTGGTATGTTTTTTTAATACATTTGTCTATAACAAAACAAGAACTTTATAAATGTGCCCCTGGCTATTTTTTTGCCGTCTATTTTGGCCTATCAGTTGAAGTCATCACTTTTGTTTTTCTCAGATGAATATGTCATTTGCCTTGGATGTAAGAGTCCGGACACTATACTTACCAAGGAAAATCGTCTCTTCTTCCTCCGGTGTGAGAAGGTAAATTTTCTATACACTTTTGCTTGTTTCTCTTCTTCCTTCCTCTTTTAGTTTTCATGCCAAGTGTCTCCCTCCTACCCACCTTGCTGCTAGAACCCCTCAAAGATGATGGTTTCTTGTAAATGGTCTGTTTTATTTATGGTCACTTTGACTTGATGGATTTTGTTTGTTAGTTTCTCTTAATAAATTAAAGCTTAAGAATGGTTTTTTACCCGCATCTCAAATCGCTATCTGTTTATTCTGTGTTAAGTAGTACCAACTGATTGAAAGTTGTTTATCTTGTACTGGTAAAAGTACTGCCGAAAAGGAAAGTGTTAGGAATATTTTACATCTTGTCATTAAATATCCTATTGTAATACTCTGGTTTATTGCTTTCAGTGTGGATCAGGAAGATCTGTTGCTCCAATCAAGGCTGGATTTGTTGCTCGTGTTGGCAGAAGGAACACGGGGACATGATTTGGTCCTACTTTTAATATTTGTAATTGGCTGGGAATATGAACCTTTTTCTGAAAGTTTTGCCCTTGTATTATGTATCTCTTACCCTACTCCAATTTTGAGTTTGTTGCAGTAATGGTATCTTGAGTCAATATTGTTTTGTCATTTAACCTCTGGGTGCAAGTATATTTCTTCTAATGAAAATGGTCACAGACCAAATAGTTTTAGGAAATCACAAATCTTAATTCCATTTAGAAAAATCTCAATTTTAATTTCATTTAAGCTTTTATATTTTGCTTAATAGAGTTTAGTATGTTTTGCATAACTTCAGGTCTGTTCCGTGTAGGGTTGATGGTAGTGTCAAAATCTTCCAGTTTTGTTGGTTCACAACCTAAACTTGGATATCCAAACTAAGCCTCCCAAATTTACCAACCAAAAATGAGCAACCTTTTGGGCCAGTATACCCCTTGAAACAAACGTTGTGACCCTTTACAGCAGACTCGAGATTAAATGGGACAGGTCGGTTTTCGAATGCGGAAATCCCGAGTCCTTGACTCCTTGCACCAGACGGGTGTGTTTTGGTGCTTGCAAACATTTAATTTTGATTTTACAAAGTTAGTCTTGGCTGAAGAAAAGGTAAGTGGATTTACAATGCGCATTTAAACATAATAGGCCAAGTGAAGGAAGACAGCTAAGAGCCTGAGCCATCCTTGCAATTGTGCAATACAAGTTTTGGTAATTGAATTTGCAAACTTAAGCTGCGCATATCCAATATTAAACCCTCAAACGAGACTCCATTTCAAATCACGGGTGCCTAATCCGCGTGAACAATATTTACGTTGAACATTGCTTTGGACGCCAAAGAAACTGCATAAAACGCGTTTGCGGTTGTCAATTTATAGATAACAGTGAGTCGGTGAGTCTAAGATCCCACTAGCTAACATTTTTTTTCCTGTGTATATATATTATTATTCTTAATCTCAACAGCCAAAGCCATTTGATGAAAGTGAATTGAATAGATTATTAACAAACTAATTTTGCAACTTTGATCCACCTTTATTTAGGGTAAAAACCAGGGTTTCAGTAATAATAACAGTGAGTCGGATTCTAAACCCTAAAATGAAGCAATTTGCAATGTTTAGGAAGTAGACTAAATTCAAGCTTTAGTCAAACATTAAAGAAAAACAGTTATCCTAATATTTATTTAACTTGTCTTAAATTTATGCCTTGCGTGATACTAAAATTTATGTTGCCCCAGGGCTGCAATTAAACATTTTAATTATAATGGGAAATATTTGTCCTAAAATAGAATTTGGATCCTTTCATGTTGAGTAGCATCATGTATGGTGAGTTTTTTTTTTAAAAGATAAAAAATATTACAAAAATGATTGTAACAAAAATCAATTCTAGTTCTCCATACTTCTACTATCTCAACCTCTTTCTTTCCACTGCTATAGTAATCATATATAACTTAGGGTTGCACAATGAAAAGTACAATTTTTTTTCTTCAAATTTACTTATAATATAAGTTTTTAATTTTATTAAAGCACTTTGATATTATAAAGATTTTACTTTACCATCCATTATGAATATTAATGTACAGTAAAAATGATGTCTTTTGTAATTAATTTAAAAATAAATTATATACGTACTAACAATGTAGTATTTTTATACTATAATCCAATTGCAAATCACCATGCAATATTGCAATAAGTTCGTTATCTTTTATGCTAACTACCATAAAAGTTGTATAAAAATAATTTCTGATTAGTTAAAAATGAATGCACAATATATATATATATATACACAAAATTTTTAAAGTTATATATAAAATGATTTGTAATTTGTTCATAATGTAAAATTCTTCCGCTATAAAAATAAACTATCTTTTCTTGTCACTTGTACCAACATGGTTATTTTTAGGTATGTATATGATATACATAATAACAAGTATTTCTTGTTATAAATAAATTTGTCTAGCGTTTTTTTCCTTATTCTGCTATGCATACTAAGAGTAATCAGGACTACCACTTGCTCATTTATTTGTATGGATTACATATGAAATCATAAGACTCAACATTCAACTCAATGTCCATGTTGCTGCTATCTCCTATGCTCCGGTATCCATCCACACATGGCTGAGAAAACTTTCACACACCATAGGTGGCAATGAAGGCCGCGGTGGTTAGAGTTGAAACAAGGGGCATATATAGTCTCCCATACAAACTAGTGGCACTGTTAGGATTAGCTTTCGTTACATTTGTATTGAAACCTGCATAATCAGCCGCACCAAAAGCGATATTTAGTTTTGTTACTTGTCCCAAAAAGCTGGTGCAGTTTATTAGGAAACAAAATGATACACTTATAATAATTCATTTGAAAACTTGTATATAGGGATAGTAATGGGCCCCATAGGGGCGGGTAATAGTAAATCTGTCCCTGTTCTGCTGTATGAAAATTGGCCTCATACCCACCCCATATTCACGCGAGTATCCATTAAGCGACTATCAATGAATTTCTTGAATACCCATAGATATTCATGGATATTTATAAATTTTTTAAGAAATTAAAAAAATTACATTACAAATAATTTTAAATTTATATTTAATGTCAATGAAATATTAAAAATAAAAATTCAATGTTAATTTTGAATTTGTATTTGACGTTAATTCGATTGAAATAATAATAAAAATGCAAGATAATCAATAATTTAAAATACATCAATCTTATACAAGTAAGGGAAAGTCTCATATCACAAAGTTACAATAATTCAATCTCATAATTCCAAACGTAAGTAAACAACTTAAAATACATAAATCATATTGGTTCAATCAAAGCTAAAAAATTAATCAAATTACATTCAACATAATTCTATGGAAAGAAAATAAGATGAGAGTGTAGTTTTAGGGTTATGTGGTATAAGAATAATTAGGATATTTAATAAATATTATTAAACAGGTACCCACGGGTATGGATATCATCATACCCGTCCCCGCTCCATTTATAAACGGGTAAAAAATTATACATCCCCATTATCCGCGAGTATCCAATTAGTCTATCCATTTATTATCCGTAGCGGATTTTACCCACAGATACCCGCGGGCGCATGTATTTTTGCCATCTCTACTTATATAACATAATAAATGATGTGTAAAGATAAATAAACACATATTGTCTACATTAAACTTAAAATTTGTCTTTTGTTTATTGATAAAAAAACCTCGTAACAATGAAGAGTTTGTATGTACTCATAAAATTATGTTCATCTTTTTGTTACTTTGTTTGAATTTCAAGGGTGTAAAGTGGAGTGTTAAAGTTGTTACCTTTAGTCTTACTGGAACAGGCTGCTTTAGTGACATTCATGACATAGGAGACGGGTTGTTTGGTCGCAAAGAAGAAGTCTCTCTTCACATCTTGGATGCAATCTAAGACAGATCGGATGTGGTCATAGCAACCATTGATACAAAAGTCGCTGATATCAGAGTCAGAGACAATTAGCGCACCAGCGATTGTCAGTGAGTATCCACCCTTCAAGCAAGGTGTTGAGTCCTACACACATGTTCAAACTAGTAGTGTGATTGGATGAAAAATTTAAATAGAGTAATTCATTTGTTTAAAAAATTTTAAATTTTTTATGATGAAATAACTTGTTTGAATTGAGAATTTATAAAGAATTTAAAATTTAAGTATCTGTGAAATTTTTTAAAATAGTAGAATTTTAAATTTCTAAAAAAGTAAAAATTTAAAATTTCTCATTTTTTTGTTATTTCACTTATATATTTTATCTTATTTCTTCATGTTTTTAATTATTAAATATTTAAAAATATTTTTAAAATTATTATACTAACCTAATATTATTTTTTTAAAAGTTATTAAATATTTAAAAATTAGTTAATATTTATTTTATAAAAATTAATTTAAAAATCTCAATATATAAATAATTTTTTAAATTAATTTTACTATAGTGAAATCAAATTATCATATCCAACCTAATAATTTAAAATTTAAAAAATTTGAATTGACTTATCCAAACACAATATTTTAAGAATTATAAAAATTGAAATCAAAATAATTCAAATTACAAGAACTTAAAATTTTCCATCCATCATTATTTTGAAGCAATAACATAATAGCTATTAAGAGAATATCTAAAAAAGTTAACACATGGTGATTGATGTGAATATATAGAAGAGGCACACAATAGCTTATTACATTATCCTTCATGCAGAAGTAAGCGCTCCTCCAACTCTCGAATGGGCTTAAATTTGCATTTCTCCTCGGTTCAGTTGTATCTGAATGGAGGAACACAAAGTCAAGTTTCTTAGGATTTTTCTACAATAAATAATAAGCACCAAAATACTAAGGAAAAAGGGTTTATGTCGAAGTTGTTTCTTTAAGGTTAATTAAACCGTTTTCATATAATTTGTGAACTGTATTAATAAATTATTCTTATATCAACTTGGTGAAATAAGGGGAAAACAGCTTATGGATATTTCATGAGTTATTTTTTTTGTAAGTTTTCTCAGTTATACATGGTTTTATATCATAAGATAAACTCAACTAATTAAACTGTAAATAAATTCTAGCAAATGCAGCTAGAAAGAGAAGGATTGTGAGAAAAAGGAATACTAACTTTCAGCATTGATGTGGTTGACTAGGAGAAAAAATGTTCCCAAAGTAAAGCAAACGAGGAAGCTGCTTTTGGCATTCATTATTGTTCCCTAATGATCAAATTAAGGACACTTATTTGACCACTTGTGTTTGTGAGGGAATTCTGGCTTTGCATAATATTTATATGTTTCAGAGCAATGAAAGTTGCTGAGATTAAAACTAAGAAAAATGTTGTTATTTTCGGCATATGATGAGAATATGGCATCAAACATGGAGTATTTGATACAAACAAGGGCACACTTGAAAATTTAGAAACATGGCAAATGAAGGGTTTGCATCAAGACAGAAAAATGAAACATGTTTTTTTTCTTTTGGAGGTTTGTGTCGGAAATATAGAGGTGGGATACAATACAATGATTGCATCGTCCTAGGCAAGCTTATATGTGCAATTTTATAATTAAACGATGGGAATGTGTATGTATCTGTATCCTTTTCAACGCTACATCTAATTTTATATTTTGTTTTTGAATCTGTATCTCCTGATCATGTTTATTACATACGGACAAACCGCAAAGTTCAATTAATTTGTAGGTTATGAACATTTTTTAGATATATCTTTCTAATTTTTTAGGATAAATTAAACACACACTCCCAACAGATTAACACATGATTTTCCTCAATTATCATTACATTATTTAATTCTAACTTATTTTTTATCTAATAAAAAATAGCTGCTTACAAATTATTCTTAAAAATTATAAATTTTTTAAACATATAAAATATGTTAAAAAAATGTATTCCTAACATTATGCCCTATGAAGCCACACCGTGAGTACAAATTAATCTTTAGTTATCGATTTTGAAATATTGTGTAAATTATATTTATGAAAAAAATCAGATATTTTAAATGTTTTTATTTGAGATGAATTGACATGTTAATCTTTTATATTTATAAAAACGATTTAATGAAATATTGTCCCATAATTTACTCATCAAACGAGACTTTAAATTTATAGAAACTAAAATATACACGCACAATTAATTGGTTATATATGTAGTGAATGCCTCTTGTGATTTTTTTTTGAGAAATTATATATATATATATA